TTTTTGGAGGTGGACAATCCAATAGCACGAGGCTTATGTGATTATTATTTTTGGTTATACATGTGTTATTCTAATCTTCCTCATTTTCTATTGAGTACTCTAGGGATTCTTCATTGTTGTAACACCCCGGAAACTAGTAGACAAAACTAGAGCCACAAGCTAGGGTTCTAAGGTTTGATGTATGGGAAATGGAGTCGTAGATGAGACTTTATGTGTTTAGAATGAGGAGTTTAGTGGTTGAACATCAAGGTATGTTTTAGACCTAGTAGCCTAGATGACCTTAGAGAGTTTGGTTGAGCATGGGAAGGGCAAGTACCAAGGCAAAAGGGCAAGCCTAAGCCAAAGGGTCAAGGTTGTCCAACCTTGGCAGCCACTGCCTAAGAGTTCACGACCAGTGGTATAGACCACGGTCCGTGAAGGGGTCCTTGAAGATGCCTTAGACACTTGGGAGGCTAGGCCAAGAGGCCTAGATACTGCCCCAAGTTCACGAGGCACTTCACGAGTCGTTTGCTTGACCACGGCCCGTCAAAGTGCCCATGAAGGTGCCTTAGCAAATTAGGGTGGTTGAGGGCCAAAAAGGGTTGAAGGAGCTACTGGTCCATGGACCACGGGCACCACCATGGACCGTGGTGCCCTTCAAGGACTGTCCAAGTGGCCGTGGTTCCTGGGACGGGGCAGCCAAGTTGAGGGACATTTGGGTAAAATCCTATTCGACTAGGTTTAAGTGGGGGTCGTTTTGTGTGTATTTTATTAACCTATTTAGACTATTTTAAGTATATACCCCTTAGTTTTAAGTCACTTTAGATTAGACTCAATTCAAAACCCTAAATCACTCCTCTCTCAAATATTTCTCTCTCAAAGAAGAACATCCATTGAAGAAGAAGCTAGGGTTGAAGCTAGGGTCAAGAACAAAGGGTTTATTGCTAAAGGCTTATGCTAGGGATTTGATCAAGGTATGTTTATCTCTTCATATATGGGTTCTTCCACCCATAGAGTCCCCTAGAATTTCCCCTAATTTGTGAAGAAGAACCCCAATAAAGGTAGGGTTACTTCCAATGCATGGGTTTTAGGTGGGTATGATTCCAAACGGTTGGATACTACTCATATATGATTAAATTGATGTTGATTCATGATATTATGAAGAATTTATGTGAATTCCTTGATTTACCCTAATTTCCAAAGTATGTGGGTTTAGATCTTTTAATGAGGAATTGATGATTTTTGTTAGATTCTCTTGGGTCGTTGATATGTATGGAGTATATCCAAGGATATGAATATGAGATCATGAATTGACTAGACTTATGCATGTATGTTAGAATATGAATTGAAATGATTAAGAATTGGGACTTTTGATGAATTATGCTTAGAATTGACTTATGACTAAGGCTTAGGGCTAATGTGCCTTGAAATCTAGACTAGTATGATGATTGTGAAGTAAAGTTTGAATGTAGGGCTTGAAGTCATAATGTTGATCACTAGGGCTTATAGAATAAGTCTAATATGATGAGTTAGCTAGCTTGCATGTATGTAGAATGTGAAAGGTTAATCACCTAAAATGAATCATGCTTGTTAGACTAGAATAGCTTGAGGTTGAGTCTTATGATTCCTTCATGGATAGTTGAATTATGTAGCTAGGGATGGTAGATCTCATGGTAGCTTGGGATTGAGGAATTAAGCTCTTTAAAGGTTAGCTTGAACTAGCATTGGTAGGATGCTTTTCATGATAGCTTGCATTAGTATAGGCATGGTAGCTTGGGATTGAGGAATTAAGCTCTCCTAAGGATAGCTTGAAGTAGCATGACTAGAATGCCTTCATGGTAGCTTCACTTGGTTAGGCCAAGACCATTTCATGATAGCTTAGGATTGAGATATTATACTCTCCTAAGGATAGCTTAGGGTTGAGGATTCATACTCCCCTATGGATAGCTTGCATCTTATTGAATGGTTGCATGGTGGCTAGGTTGGTATACTTGTATCCTTCCTTAGATAGCTTGGATTGTATGATATGATGTTTTTCCAAGGTAGTTAGGTCTAGCATGGTAGTATGCTGCTCTTAATAGATTAGAATGATAGAAAGACTTCCGCTTTTATGAAATATTTTTGGTATTATGCTTTAAAGAAAGTTTTAAATTCCCCCTACTTTTCTACGATCTTATGATATGATAATGCTAAGGGCTTGTATGCGACCCCTTCGGGGTCAAGTACGCCGTGTTACAACTAGGGGGTGCCTCGGGTCGTGACAATTGTTTATACATTTCAGCACAATTTCATTAAGGTTGTTACTTGAATTTTCATGTTATTTCCTCTTAGGTTTTGATCCTTTTTTTTTCTCTTACCCCATGTGACATAACTTGTTTGATATGTCTTTTAGGGGCGTCTTTCTTCTGACATGTTCTATTTTTTTAAAGCTTGAAACTTGTGTATTACTGATACTTTTGTTTCTTTGTTGTTTGTCTTCTTTGTTTCAGCCTTACTTTATTGTTATATGTTCAGCATTTCAGATAAGTATTGTTGCTTCCTGTTGAGAGGAGACCGGCATCCCAAAATTGATCTTATTTTTGATAGCGAGGCATTAGGATTACATTGAATGATTTTGAAGATGTCAACCCCTTTATCTATATTGATCATGTTATTGACAGTTATTGTCGTTGCACAACAAGGAGTGACAAACAATGATCATCCTCTTTGATTTTTTTCCCATCATTTTTTGTCCAATCCTAAATCAGTACACGGGATGGGCTGATTTATTCAAACTAATAATACGATAAAACCATTTGTAATATTATGCTTAAATGTATATTTGGCATCAGCTATATTTTTTGCAATTGTTGAAAATATTGTTCGTCACATTCAAAAGCACTGGGACCGTGATACCTATTTAGTATATTATAAAGAGTCAATCGTGGGACGACCAGGGCTATTTTAGTCATTTTACTTTGCTAAGAAAAAATCTTCCCCTCACTTGGTAGCACAAACGATCAGTTATTGTCTATAAAAATCCATTAAGACTCTTTATCTCTAATCTTACTGTCAACATCAAGAACCAGATATATCGCTTCCAAAAATGGTCTTTTGCTCTTCACTCTCAAAACTACTTGATTCTCTTCATCTTCACAATGGGTTACTCCTATTCATATTTTCAAAAATGGTCTCTTGTTATGTGTGAATGTAGTTATGATATGAATGAACTTCATGTCGCTTAGGTCTGGATACATCGATTCTCTCTTCTTCATATTTTAAAGGATAGTTTTTCAGTTTATTTCAACTTTACTCTTCATCTTCACAAGGGATTACAAGGTAATTACAACTTTATTTTTTCACTTCCATCTTTTTTTTTCCTTTCTACAGAGGGAGAAGATTTTAATATTGTATCTATTTTCACTTCTTAGCATTAAATTTTTGGCTATGTAAATTTTATTGGTAACAGGAAAGTATTCCCAGTTTCGGGTATTTTCCCTCTTCCTTGTCGAAATTTTTTGTGATTTCAGTTGATATTTTTGGGTTTTGCTTTTGATTTGGAGCTTTGCGGAAGCCGTCAGAAATGTATCTAGTGTGGCATTAATCAATAAAGGAAAAGCAAGGTTGGAATACGGTTTCATCCTTGAGGCGGATCTGTGAAACAAAGCACTAAATGGTGGCAGTGGCAAACCGCGGGATTGAATGAGAAGAGCAAGAGCCAAGAATTACTTGTTTCTTTGGGTGATTTTTCTAGCGTCAGGCACTCCTATGTTTCTGTTGTATATATGGTGCATCATGCATGTTTGAAGTGTTATGTGTTAGAACCTCAGATGCTTACTGTTATACATATATATAATGTTTGAAGACGAACTTATCACGTATCTACCTTCTTTTGCTCTAACAGACTCTTCACTTCCATTATAAGTTGTTTTTTTGTTTCCCGTGTAAATAAAGTATGATGAACGATATATCTGCTTGTTATCTATTATTCATCTTTGATGGTAGAAAGTAGATTGTTATCCTTTGCCTAAACCCTCAAACGATTGAGCTAACTCCAGTTCAACTTCAAGTTGCAATCTTGCAGTTCACAAGTTTTCTTGTGCATATTTCTAAATTGTACTGTGCAAAACTTTTCCCTCAAGTCTGATTGATTCCTTCCATTGAGTTTAAGCAATGAATCTGATTCATGTCTGTGACCTTTATTAGCCAAAATGATTTGCTCTTGACTGTATGTATGCCTGCCGTCTTCGTTGATAAGCAAATTTCCACTTGTAACTCTACCTATGCTAATTGTAGGTAAGCTTGAGGTAGGTTTTATCTTACTTGAATATCTATCCATCCCATTATCCTTTTCCCTTGATTATCTCAAACAAGTGAGTGATTAGTCTTAACTTCAGTTCGTCAAGGAAATGTTTCAACAAGCATAATCACTTATCATCATCACATCATACAATTATCTTCCTAGATTTTTAAAAAAGAGGGTCATACACATATCAAGTGTTTTATTTTCCATATATTAGTCAATATCCTATCATTTGAGTTGTGTATCCAATTATGCTTCTTGATTTTTACCACTGCATGCAATGTAGAAATATGTCTCATTTAACCACACTAGTTAACTCATTTGCCTGGAATATAGGGAAAGGGATGAAGCTTAATATTCTCTGCTCCCCATTCTATTTGATTATAGTTGGAATTAAATATTTCTCTCTCAGGTTTAACTTTTCAAATCTGAGATGATCAAACAAGAAGAATTGAATAGGCATACAAGGGTTTTTCCAAAGAAATGATTTGTGGATCATGCACTAATCCCACAAATCTAGTTTAAGAATATATGAATGTCATATGTTACACACTAACATCCTTTCAGTGCAATACTCTGAAAAATAGGAGGAACTAGCTCTCCCCAATATTGTCATTTCTTGTTTTTCCACCAAAACTCATACCCACAATTTCATACACCTACTCCTCTTAGTTCATTTACTTTCCTCATCAAAGGGGCTAGGGAAAAAAAATAACTGCAACATGTACCCATTACTACCTTGTACCCACCGCAACATGGCAATTGCAAAGATACTAGCAGTAGAAAATCCTTCTGATAGAGATCAAATTGGAGTATGATTCTTGTACAGTAATGTCTAGGCACAATTGTACAGTCCAAATTAAATTAAAACACGACGGGACATTAGCACAACGGACAAAGAAAACTTCTTCCTACTGCCAAACAGCTCCATACTACTTCAGATCTTCTATCTTAGCCAAATGTTGAAATAAGGAAACTCTTGTAGATGCTCATGAATTTGGCCACAAATGCTGCAAAAACAAATCAAAGATGAGGTACCAAATAAGCTCGAAACATATTACAGACATCAAACCATATCCGGAAGTTAACAAAATCACATCTTTAAAATAACAGTTCTTGTACCAATATATAGAAGAATTATTTAACTTTAGCAACAAAAACTGTGATTACTGAGCAAGCTTGGTCTGTAGCTATGACACCATTAAGTGTGAACATCTATCATGCTTCTCCAATTAAGTATATCTGCCTCTGCCAAACAGCAGACTATACAGTCATACACCTGCTGCAAATACATGCTAAAGAATGGAATTAAGCAATCCCTTGCTGCCAAAGATTATCTCCCTGATTGTTACAAATGGACCGTCATCATCACTCACTTTCAATTTGTAGATGGCTCTTAATTGGATCATTTATTGGTGTAAAGCAAAATCAACTTATAACGTATATTGAGCCCCTTCCCCCTTCAGTGACCAACTTTGAGTTAAATCCCAAACTAAAAAAAAATGCTCCATGACCCATTTAATATGCAGAACTTTGGGATAAATTCCTCAGTTTTTTCTGCTCCAAGTTACAAATGAGAAACTAAAAGTACTTCGACTAATAAAAAAAAAAAACTAATGTCTTATTTCCTACAAACAGGCACCCCTAGTAATTGAAGAAACATTCCTTAGCTTCAATCATTCTGTTCAAGGTGTCCATCAAAACTCTTCCACACTAGCATGCACTCCAGTCACACATAAACACACCTAATACATGAAACGGAGAAACTATGCTTATATGATAACCCTTTGTTGATGTGCTCACTGTGATGGGATTTAAGTATATTTAGTCACGCAGTTCAACACAATATAAACTCAAATATATATGCACAAAACTGTAAAGTTGATCCCACAAGCAGAAAGCTCATAAAATTTCTTTCCCTGCCATTTTCCCAGCTTCTGGTATTGTCTGTTGGTGATAAATCCCATATCCATATCTTGTTTTATTGACAAGATTTACGAGCAAGGCATAACAATATCTTGGGGATATAAAATGTGACAAGTAATGAAGCACACATCTATATTGCTCGGACTCTTCAAAAATGTTGACGGGTGAATGTCAGATCTTCAAAAGTAGAGCATATTTGGAGGATCCAACACGGGTGCGGCAGTATTTTGGGAGAACCCGAGCAACATAACATGGAGAAAGGAGGGCATTGGCTGGAATATCCAAACACTGAAATGGTGCAACTAACATTAACAGGGGTAAGCAAATCAAGTACTCAACTTTGTCTTTTTCACAGCAAAGGAACATATTGAGTACATAGAAAATCCATGTGCAATATAATTGAAAAGACAGCTTAGGTAATTTAATTTACATCCTGAGCAACGGTTGGTTGTCCTTGACAGTAGCTTATCAGGAAGTTTGCATATCATAATAGAAACATGGAAGTAATTTGAATCCCATAGAAGTGTTTATGGCTCTAAACTCAACTCACGTTTGTCTCAACTCTGGGAGTCTATTCATGCATTCATTTCCTCAAGTCAGTGTAATTCTATTTCAGGGGTCTGGAGTATATCAACAGTTTTCTTAAAATTGATATTTGACGCCAAGCATTCAACTGTGAGATGCACCTAAATCACCTAACATGCAACCCCAAATAGGACATCGGTCTTATTTAGTACTTCACAGAATGTTCCTTGAGACTCTTGCTTTTTTTCTCTTTAAGCAACTCCTATAGATCAACCCCCAAAAGATTAACGGTTCACATGCTAGACATTCCTCTGCCTCTGCTAACAGTATTACTTCTTCCTTATTAAAAATAGTTTTACTTCATTTTTTTAATTTCTAATTTTCAAAAGGTATTACTGTCAATGATAACGGCTGTAACTTTACAGAGGTCACTTTCAAGCTTTTCCAACATTTCTTTTTCATAGGTTAGTAAAAAGTTTCATTCATCAAAACGGCACCAAGGTGGTGTTGGGAGATTACAGCAGGGATATTACAAAAAATTCAGTTCCTCTCTACTCTAGCATGTGAGGTAACTGAGGAACTCCAATAGACTATCTACATCATACACCTTTCGAGATTGAGCACTGTTTAACTTGGAATATAGTTTGATTCAAGTAAAGTTGAAAAGTAGAGAGAAATGCTTGCATATTAGGGTGTCTCATTAGAAGTAAATGAGAAAATCAAAAGTTGCTAACAATGTCCCTTTCCCTTATTTGGCAAGCAAAACAGAAAGGGAAAGGAAAAAAATGAAAAACTACTGAAAACACATTTTCTAGAAGTGGCAAGTTTTTCTCCTAGTAGGATGACAAAAGACATGAAATCTATTCGGTGAACTCATCCATAATAAATAATAATACTTAGCAATTCATCGATATATAGATAAGAAGGGCATGCCCATGCGAAAAAATCCCGCATTCACGCAAGGTTCCAGGAGAGGGCCGGACCTCAAGGGGTGTGATGTAGACAGTCTACCCTAATACAAGCATTAGTAGATGTTACAACGGATCATCCATATACGAACAATATCTTTGTTAGAACAGTGGAGCAGGGGCTAGCTAGCCCACACCTCAACTTGTTCCACGGGGTATTTGCTACCTTCCACCGACACAGGTACCGAGTAACTCCATCCACCAAGACTTGGACAAATGGGAAGAAATCACCTAGTGTTTTTGCTTCACCGGATTTGGACCTAAGACCCTATAATTCTCAACCCACTATATTGACTATTAGAGGTCACACCATAGTGCTCATCCAGATACAATTTTTGTATCATACCATACAGATACAATATCTCCACCATCACGTTCATCGACCTACAATTTTTTTATATTCCTTATGCACTAAAATCAAATGATTTTTCTTATAATAATTTCTCACCCTACCCATACACATGGCTGGTTCTAGAATTGTAATCCTCACCTTCCCCTTATCCGTGGTTCCAAAAATTACAATCATGATACAAGTACAATACATGCAAATATTTACAGGTTGAATGAGAATCCATCCCTATCTCCAAGCAAAGATAAATCTTATTTTCCTTTCAGTTTCTTACTTTAACAGAGGTACCCTTCGGTTTTCTTAAACCAGATAATGCATATTCTAGAAGCTGCCTTGGCATCCCAAGGGGAGGTATATCAACATACCTAGTATGATCTCACAAGTGGGGTTTGAGAATGGTAGTGTGTACGCAGTCTTGCCCCAATGTTGTGAAGGTAAAGAGGTTGCTTTCGATAGACCCTCAGGCTCAAGTAAAGCATAATAATAACAAGTATAGAAAGGAAATACAGTAGTGAAGAAGCCAAGGTAAAAATAAAGTAGAAGAGAGCAGTAGCAACAACAAAAACAACAGGTGGTAGTAAAACAAAGAATAAGATAGTAGAAAAGTAACAATTGGAACAATACTGATAAGGAAAACTAGTCAACGTTCGACTACCTATCAACCTTTTACCCTAATCCTCGACCTCCATACCCTCTTATCTAAGATCATGTACGCAGTAAGTTACACATGTGTCATATCCTATCTAATCACCTCTCGCACTACTTCTTAGGCCTACCTCTACCTATCCTCATACTACCATAGCCAACGTCTCACATCTCCTCACTCGTTCGGAATTTCTTGGTTCCTAATCATATTTTCTCTTTGTATGCCAACACATCCATCTCAACATCCTCATTTTGCTACTTGCATCTTCTAGACGCGCGAATTCTTGACTATGCCCCATGCAACATAATTCTTTTCACACAAGACATTGTATACATCGTCGGTCGCCCATTTCCTTGGATTATCGACCTAAACAATAAATAATCCAACTGCTTCTTTACGCATGATGTTCTCCCAGGCTTCTGCTCCGATCAGCTCACTATCCAAATATAAATATAAAATCCCTTTAATACTAGCATCCTATTAACCCCTTCAGACTGAACTAGGCATGTGCAAATCCTATCTACAAATCAAATATGTGGCAGAAGATTTTTTTAAAGAAACATTCCAAAGCTCTTAGACGAATAGAACAACACCAGTATTCAAAAATTAAGTGCACTTAAAAATTTAAAAAGACATACAAGAAATCACAGAAGCATGAAAAATAGATCCACCATTGTAGTTTCTAAGTTACTTGCAGCAACTTATATTTCAAACAATGTATGAGAGCATAAACAACTGAGAGATCAAGTAAAGGTAACATCAAAAATCAGTATCTGAGAAAATAGAGCTCAATCACTACAAAGCAGCCAGTCTAAGCTGTTTTTTGATAATGCTCAAAGTTAATTTCTAATTAAAAGGTTATGCAATACCTTCAAGATGAAATATAGCCTTCTGTCCAAGGCGCATCCTATGCTCCTGAAAGACACACACAGATTTTCTTAAGGAAAGTTTGAAGCTATTTCTTTATAAAACAGCAAATATTAATCCATGCACGAGAAAATTGCAGAAATATCTATACAATAGAAGTGCACATAACCTAATGACTGATTCAACAAAGAATATAAAGCATCCCTTTACAACCCCCAACCCCCCACCCACACACACCCCACTAGGAGACACTGTTGACACGGTAATTATTACTCCTTCTGCCTCAATTTATGCGATATTTTAAAGGTAACAGTTTAATTTTAAAACTTCCCATCTAACCCTTAATGAGATGATTTGTAATCGCATAAATTTATATGGCTTGTTTTAGACCACGAGTTTCGAAAGTCATTCTTTTTCTCTCAACTCCATGCACAATAAAACACCTTCACATAAATTCGGACGGATGGACTATTTTCTAAACAAACAATTATTAACCCTCACCCAAGTTATAAACTGCTCATATTATTGAGCTTACCTTGATATTAAGATATTTTCTTCTACTTATCATAATAGTGTTGTTGGTCTTTTTCAAGTAAAATCCAACTGAAATCAAACCACAAACCCCGTTACCTTCATGCATGTATAACCAATATAGGGGTTCTGAGTTCATACATTGACTTGAATCCTAATTATACTTGGTTATAATACTACAGAATGATTGATCATCCAACCCAAAACCATAAGGCAATGGTTGGAGTAGTCCGACCTTTAGAAATTCCTTTGATTCCTTAACCCTCATCGACCTAATATGAAACATTATGTAACTCAATAACTTACATAATGAGCAGCCCAGTTGGACACCTCATGCTTCAACTCTGAATCCAATTTCTTTAATAGTTCGAAAAGCAGCCTCTGCAGTTGAAAGCCGAATCATTCAAACATAAACTTTTGTAACACCTTACAGAGTGAAAGGTGAAGCACCTGGAAAAAAGATCTTACCTTCAAAATAATTTCAGGGGGAATACAATTAGTTAGTAGCTCATATAACTTTCCTCTTACCTCAAATAACCTGTAATAAAGAACATTGCAGTTCAGATAAGGAGGCAAATGTACATTGTGTAGTTGTGCTGTCATAAGCACAATTAAGACCCATGTCTTGTTCAGATTGCCCATGGGAAGTTACCCACCTCCCTCCTTCCTAACTTCGTATGAAAGATGATGATTTCTTTGCATGATTAATAGTTGAATATCTTAAATGATGTGAAAAACAACGTAAGCTCAAAAACACATACAGTTTTCCACTTTTCAACTTACAGTGAGGGTAGAATATTGTTCTTTTTTATGAAGCAAGTTGTTGTGTTGAAAAGCATCAAGAAGATACATAAAGCTTTACAAAGAAAGGTTAAAACTCCAGACATTGCAAAAAACTAATATCGTTCTAGTGATTTTTTTTATTTTTTTTTATAAAGGTAACTTTTTGTATATCAATCATCAGCTCAGAGCTGGTAAGCAAATATTTACAGCATATCCTATATCCACAGGAGTGTGCCTATCAAACAAAAACATAAAGAAAAAGCCAAAACTATCACTAGATCCTCCATCATCTTATAAGGATCCTGGGATATCTACAATAGCCACAGGACCATCTATATACTCTGAACTACACCAATATATCGTTCTAGTGATTCTTGTGCTTGAATATTTGGATTTTGCCTTTCAACTGAACGTTTCTTCTGGCTCTGCTTATTAAAGAGCGTGCAGTTCCGTCTTTTGACATTTTATGGGAAATAGGTGAGGAAATTTGTGATGCAACACTATGCATTATTGGTTGCATTGGAATGAACAAAAAAGGAAATGCTTTAAGGGAGTATCAACCATTGTTCATAAAGTATGCGTTTGTTTGGTGTATCCAAGGTAATGAAAAGGACTTAAAGAATTTTAAGGATCTTTAAAGATCTTGGATATGAAGACTTCTGTAAATCGATTGCAGCAAATATTCATTCTTTTTGCTTCTTCTTTTTTTTTAATTTTCTTTTGTTTCAGTGAGCTAGTTTTTTTAAAAAAATCTTGGACAATTTCTTAGAAGTTTGGATACAAATTGCTTATCGATATGCGACTCGCTCGCTGAATTGTCTGTGGTTTACATTACTGATTTATTAGTCAAATAAGACATTCAGATCCTCAATTTGGAAACTACTTCAGAAACTGAGACAACATATAACTACTCACTTTAACAGAAGAAAGCAATCAACAAATTCCATGACAAGGATAAATTTCAATATGCCCCCTTTTGACTTCTTACAGCTTCTTTTCTACTTATACGCAAAGGAGTGTCGCCAGGGCTTAAGCCCAAAGCGCAATTACAGTATGCTGTAGTGAAGAAAGGCACAAATGTAGGAAGAAAACATAAATTAACATGTGTAATGTAAGAAAACTAACTATAAGTATGTATGGATTATGGTAAAAAGAACTACAATAAGTTAAATAAATGAAGTAAAGGCCCTGTCAATCAAGTTTGAAAACCTTTTTAAATTAGATGCAAATTAAGATTCTAAATCATAGAAGCAACTAGTTTTCTAAAACTAATTTCTAATTTCCTATTTCTAGTCACTAACTTCCCCATTTCTAGTCATTTATTACATTACTTGAAACTTAATTTTGCTTTGCTTGCTTTTTTTTATGACAAGGGACTTAATTTTGCTTTGCTTGCTTTTTTTTATGACAAGGGAAACCCGCAGCCGCTACCCTTTGTGTGCGCGCACCTAAGTTGCTCGGACTCGGGTGCGGGTATCCGAGACGGATGCGAATCCGAGAGTCGGATTCGGCAAAATCCAAATTTTAAGATTCGTGGGTGCGAATTCAAGTGTGGATACGGGTGCGGGGATACGGCTAAAATTATTCAATATTATAAAAATATAGTTATATAGATATATTTCAATAACAATATATCTAGTATAATCAAATAAGTGGGATATATAAATATATATATATAAAAAAAATTGAATTATACCATACATACTAAGTACTAAATAACTGCATAAAATATTACTAAAACTATTTATAAAATATATATAATGATTAATTGCATATTTTGGTACAATTACATACAAAATAAAAGGAGTATAATTGTTAAAGAAGAGAGAATATAATAAACATGAAAAATATAATTTATTTTATAAAAAAGTATACTTATTTTGAGAAACCCTTCGTTTCTGCCTCTTGGAGTTCTTTTTCAAGAAAAATTGAAAAGACCCTGTACTTTTTCAATAAAGATAAAAAAAAGACTGTTCCTTGTACTTTTTCAAGAAAAAACTCTTCTTTCTTCTCTTCTCTGTACTTTTTCAAGCTTTGTCCTCTTTAGGTCGACGGAAACTGATTTTTTCTTCCCCAAATCTTTTCTCGGCTCCGGTCAAAGTGTCCCGATCGGATTGACCGAATCCGACACGCACCCCGCACCCCGCACCCGCGCCTGCACCAGTGTCGCGTCGAGACGGGTTCGCTTGCAAATATGAAGAGTCTCGACGAGTTCACTTGCAAATATGAAGAGTCCGCGCAACATAGGTGCGCACAGGGTAAAACCCCCACTCCTATACAATAGCTCACAAACCACACAGGAGAGGTAACCCACAATAGGCAATCCCAGTGAGACGAGCTCAACCCAGAAGGCAAACCCCTTGCTTTTGCTGGCAAGGGGTATCGAACTTCAGACCTCCAACATGGGAGTCCCAAGCCCAAACCACTGGGCCACCGAAGGTTATCATGTGAAGTCTTATAGGTTTCTCTCTCAGTCTTTATAACATACTCCTCTCTCAGCACTCAAAAGCCTAGTGTCGTCTTAACTTTAAAATTCCCTTCTCTCAAAGTTGAATCTCCAGTTGTCTTGAATTCCGTGTCGACCTCTAGTGGCAGAACTAGACATTCAAAGAACAGTTTATAGAATCACGAGCTGAATATTAAATACCCTATTCATATTGACTGTCAACAGTACCTTTTAGGGCTCTGCTCTTTCATTATGTCTGATGCAATTTCTGAAACATATTGCTCCCAGTCCATCGGAGGTATAGTTTGGTTGTTTGTAAAGGGATACCTTGCACAAATAAACAAGGGATCAGCACGTGCATAAGAAAACTTTGGTGCAAATAATATTCCATAAACTCATAATTAACAGCTTAAACTAGCAAGAAACTAAAATAAATCAGTATCCAGCAGTTAAAGGGCTCAACTGTTGAACACGGCAAGACTCAAATGTCAAAACTGCCCTCCTCAGATTCCTATTTGACTTTTCCACAATGCGGGCTGCAAAACCCTGTGGAAATTGAAGTCCTTCCTTTTTGGCAATAAATTCCAAAACACTAACAATCTGTCAAACAAAAAAGATTAACAAGAAACAGTTAGGAATGCAATGAATAATCAAAGGACCACATGTCAACAATTCTTTGCTACATGACTGACTAGGCCATATATATACTTTGATTCAGAAAAATTACAAGAATCAAAAACTTCCTGATGGTCCCACACCAAAGTCAATGAAGCATTAGGTCAAGTAGAGTCGCAGGTCCTAAAGCAACCAGGCTTTAGTCTAGTAAGAGTGCAGCACGTGATGTGTAGATTAGGTGCAAGGGTTTGAACCCTGCTGTGGAAAAAGTCATGGTATTTAAGTGGAGAAGGGTAAGGTGGATCAATTATTCAATGAGCTTCGAACAAGGCCCACTGCCCTTCAGGGATTTCTCAATTATGGGGGGAAAATGTCACTGGAAAAAAAAACATGCTTTATGGTCCTTCAGTTGACGTATTTTCTAAAGTTAAAACTTTAATCTTATAAACGTTCCCTGGACAACTAGAACATGTCAGTGGAATAACTCAAATTAGAATATCCGTAATTAATCAAAAATAAACTAAAATAAGATCAATACATACTTGAGCAAATGTTCTTATATTTTTTTACTTTTTTTGAAAATTAATTAAATTACAACAAATGTTCTTATATTTAATCCAAGTATAACCAAAAAAAATTAATTGTAAAGAAAATTTAAACAAACTCATGTGACAATTCTACAAATAACTACTGCTCTCGTACTGTGAAATGTGTTCAAATGTTAGTGCTGAACTGTGTGATGATCTCATCTAAAAGTTTAAGTTGTTAGAGAAGTCACACTATTATTTATTTAGTGTTACATCTATAACACGCCCTCTCATATGCAGACTGCAGACTTGATTCTTTTTTCATGAGCCAAGCACGTGGATATTACTTTTAATAATGGGTGATGGTGAGACTGACCCAGGACCTGTGCGTGCTCTAATAAATGTTGAAGTTAGTGCCATCTAATCTAAAAGCTTAAGCAATTAAAAAGAGCACACTTTTATTTATTTTTTGAAATTGGTAACTTTTTATATTCCTCAGCATTAAGGGCTATGCTGGCCACCTCCAAAAAAAAGACTGTTACAACAAAAGGAAAAGACTAAAAAGAAATACTTACAGAGATCCTATGAAGTCCACTAATTGGAACTCCTCTTCTATATCCTGTTCTTTACACCAAAAACCTAAAGTAGTAATTACTTTCCATTTGATCTTCTGTATTGTACACTCCTTTCCTTCAAAAATTCTCTGATTCCTTTCTTTCCATATAATCCACCATATACATGCTGGAACTGTTCTCCACCATCTTTTCTGACTTTTGCTGCCTCCCCTTTTGATCCAGCAGCTAAGAAGGTCAGAGGTGTGTTCAGGCATAGTCCAATATTCATTGGCTATGCTTGTAAACAGAGCCCACACCTGAGCAGTTACCTTACAGTGCATGAATAAGTGTTTGTTAGTCTCCAGAGCTTCTTTACAAAGGAGGCATCTGGATACTATGTTGATGCCCCTCTTCTGCATTGCCTCATGAGTCAAACATTTTTTCCTAGCAACCAACCAAGTGAAACACTTCACCTTGGCAGTAGCCACACTTTTCCATATTGTGTTCCAAGGTCCAATGGATCTTCCTGCACATCTTTTAAGTCCCCAGTTGTATAACCTATTCACTGAAAATACCCCATCTTTGTGATGTCCCCATGCTAATCTGTCTGGCTCTAGAGTAGTACCTGGGAATCCACCAATCAAGCCCAAACACTCCGCCATTCCATCAATCTCCCAGTCATTTAGCAGTCTTCTAAATATTATATTCCAACATTTAGTTGTTCTAGCTACTCTATTCACTAGATGAGTCTCCATCTTGTTTCAAAGGCACAAATTGGTATGTAAGACCAAAGACTGCTCAAACTACGTTCAAGGATGTATAGCACCCTTTGCTCAAAAAGTGCCTTTTCCTGTGGTAAACGAATAGCCAAAGCAGTTGAAATGGCATTTCCAATCCGCCATGTCTAAGCAAGCACAACAGTTAACTTTACATAGCACCTTTTTTGGTGAGAATGAATGTCATTACAGGGAAATTCTCACATGAAATAAACCCTGGAGGAAAGACCAGATAAACACACTAGTCTAATGCAAGCCTGAACCCAGAAGATGCAGGCAATTGTTAAACAGCACATACACTTCTACTCTTGATCTTGTAGTATGAACACCAGAAAAAGAAAAGAAAAGAAGACAATGTTGTACTATTACCAGTGGGACAAACCAGAAAGATGGTGAAAGAAAATATATCAACAATCGGACAACTGAATTTCACTGACCTCTTCCTCCATTGGTGCATTTATTCGCACATTAAGGCATCGTGAGCGAACTGCTTCAGTGACCTTTGAAGAACTGTTGGAGCAAAGAATCAGGCGACATGATGCACTGTACTTCTCCATTGTTCTTCGAAGAGAATGTTGTGCTTCTCTTGAGAGCTTGTCAACTTCATTTAGCACTAAAACTAATATTTACCAACATGATATCAGCTAGGTAGCTTTTACAGCTACTAATGAACAAATTACAAATAATAGAAGATATTTACACAATGCTGGTGGCAAATAATTGAAATTCCAAAATAATATCTCAAAGTTGATAAGGCATTTCAATATCTATTTTGAATTCCTCGGCTTAACATAGAGAAATCACTATAGAATATCAATCTTCTTGTCCTATTAACCTTTGGCATGATATATCACATGAAATGCTTCCTTTTTATAAATTATCTATAACAGATCATATTATTTTCCTTATCAAAAGACAGATGACGGATTTTGTTGTTTTTCATTTATTCATACAAAACATACCTAGTGTAACCCCACAAGTGGAGCCTAGGAAGGGTAGAATGTATGCAGATACCCCTACCTTGGGATGTAGTCAGGTTGTTTCCGATAGACCCTCGGCTCAAGGAAAAGAAACTCAAAGCAGTTCGAAAAACAAATGACAGAAGTGAAGAAGAAGCCATGGCAAAATACCATAGAAAGCACAACAAAGAAGTCTGAAAAAAGGAGCAACTACAACAAATAGTACTATGATCACAGTCTCTAGAGAAGAAGGAGGTCATGTCCTTCCACTAAGCTCTATCGCGGGTATTGTTAGACCTCAGGGAAGATGCCAACAGAACAAATCAACGAGAGAACCCTGTTTCTCTCTTTCTACAGAATGTCTTAAGAAGGAAAAAAAATTCAAGAACTTGCCTGGTTGGTTCCATTACGAAATGGGTGCACTTACGAGGCAATCAGAAATTGCGTTGTTAATGAATGGGAAGTAGCAGATGGGTTGAAAATTATGCAGCTGAGAGACACCAAAACCTTATTTCGCTCTGCTAATGAGGAGCAGGCAGTGAAGACACTTCCGGGAGGAAGGAGATGGTTAGCTAGCAACTTCTGTTGGAAAGGTGGATAGAGCAAGATGGGTGTGTTGACACAAGATTCTTCGGCAACACTATGATAGTAAATCTGGTGGGCCCTCCGTTCCATCTTTGGAGTGTTGATCTATTCAAAAAGGTAGGGAAGATACTTGGTGGAATGGGTATGAAGTTGTTGCTACACCATCTTTCCGACTTGCTAGCAAGTTGAAAATGTTAAAAAGAAATATGAGGAAGTGGAGCAAGGAGATGTTTGGGATTGTGGAAGTTAAAATGAGGGAATTAGAAAATGAGGTGGACAATAAAGAATGTGGAAGGGATGAACGCATTAGAAGATAGGGAGAGAATTAGGAAGGAGATGGTGAAAAGGTAGCTTGCTGCTTTAGCGGTTGCTTAAGAGACTAGTTGGAGTCAAATATTGAGGATATTGTGGCTGAAAGATGGGAATTCTAATACAAACTTATTTCATAGGGTTGTCATAGCAAATAGGATGAGGAACTTAATTGAATCTCTAGATGTGAATGGAGAGGTGTATGAGAAGGGCAAAGAGGAAGTGAAGGGAGCCATTGTAGTATTTAGTCAATTAAGGAAGGGGATGAAGGAGCGGTTGGAAAGGGGTATAGATGAAGAAGAAGTGCGGGAAGCGGTGGCAAGTGATGGATTCACTCTAGCTTATTTCCAACAGTGTTGGGGGTAGTTAGAAGTGAGCTGATGGAGATCATTGCAGAATTCCAAGATACTAGGAGTTGGGGAGAAGTAATGCATCTTTCATGACCATTGTGCCAAAGAAGGAAGGAGCAATGAATATAAAGGATTTTAGACATATTAGTCTGATAGGAAGCATTTACAAGATTATTTCTAACGTTCTTTCATATAGACTAAAAAAAAAAAAATTGGGATAAGACAGTGTCTACTTGTCAGAATGCTTTTGTGGAAGAAAGACAAATTCTGGATGCAGCTTTGGTGGCAAATGAAGTGGCTAATTTAGAAAGACGAAAGATGACTCATGTACTTGATGTAAGTTGGATCTTGAGAAAGCTTACGATCATGTGAGTTGGGATTTCCTTCATCAAATAATCTTGATGATGGGTTTGGGGGACGAGTCAAGGAGATGGATCAAGTTTTGCTAGAAAGAGTTGCTTTTTATATATTTAATCAGTCAAAGTTGTTAAGACTCTTTTTAATAAGTAAAAACTAGACTAAGTTGTTGAGTCACCTTTAAACCCCTTTTTCCCTTTCGTGTCAATTGGTCTATTCTTGGCCATTTCTTTGATTATCTCTTGAACAACATATCTGTCCTGAAATCCGGCATCACTTGGATTTAATTCCACATGGTGAGTACTTGACAATGTTGTGAGCTCCACATCAATTGTCCGAGTACCAGCCTGAGAAGAAAACCCATAAAGAGAGATTAATGCAAGAAAACACTCCTTGCTTTTTTCCTTTAGCAAAATGTCCCTCAGAGATCACATTTCCCCAAACTCTTAAATATCAAATTTCTTGCAGTTTTGACAGATAGATTAGAGGTATACTGGCAGAAAAGCCTCTCATATGCAAAAGATAATTAGATATTGTTAATTAGTAAATAATGTACTAAAATAGTTTTATGAATAAGTACTTTAATTACTCAGTTCCAAACATCAACTGAATTAGAGTAGTGCTGAAACTGATAAAAGGTTCTGTTTTATTTTGTGATAGACATGGGAAGAGCATATGAGGAATCAGAGGGGTTCTCATGTTTTTAACACTTCAGTCCAGGTCATTTTAACTAGCACAATTTCATTTGAACTTAAAAGTTAATGAAAATTGTCTGTTTACATATTGCCTAAACTTTCTATTCTTTAATACTGAAATTCACACAATATGTTGCTGACAAACAGTGAGAAAATATATATACACACGTGACTAAATTAAAACTGGAGAAAGAGAAACACAAGAATTTTTTTAAGAAATAAAGGAGAATGTAAGTCTTCAGTCTCATTGTATTTCCTTTCTTTCTTTTTGGAGCAACATGGCAAATGTACATGGATACTCACAATGTTGAGCCCATGATTTACTTAATTAGTTCTCTACACAACCTGTAAGAACTTTTAATGTACTCTGTGGTACATGATAGCATACTCTCAATAAAATAAAGTTCAATAAACAATATAAAGAACAAAGAAAAGAGGAGATGGATTCCAATTGCAATTAATTCTTAATCATAGAAGTCACCAGTTGTTATCACTTTGACCAAAACCAGATCTTTATCAATTGCACCTCATTTTTGCAACAAAAAATATATATTAACTCTACATCCTTGCATATTGTGTTGCGAATACGCATGCTCTCTCTATGTTTGATGATAAGTTATGTATTTTATCCTTAAAGCAAATACACATTAACATTGATTTTCTACTATTACATGATCGTCACTGAAGCTGACACCAATAACAATCATGAATTGTTGCTACAAAAAATATGAAGGTATGAAGAAGATTTTATATCCAAGCTATTGACCCTTTTTTTCTTTGTTTTAATAAATCCAAGTTATTTATATTAATGCTACATGAAGAAGATGATAGCTTTACAAGAGAAGTACAGTGCTATAAATCAAATCACCAAAAATCTAACCAACTATCTATAAGAGTAGGTACATATGTTGTGCACCAAAAGTTTAGAAGGAACAAACTAGAACTATTCTTTGTCGCTTTTTCTTTGAATATGAGTGTGTATGTGTTACTTCAATGTTAAGCATCTTCCACTGTTTTTATGCATTTTACTTTTAAAAAGGGTAATTAAAGTTACAATATTTCTTCTTATATATTGGAGAAAGAAAAAAGGAATCAATTGATGTCAATATGTATGCAACTAATAAGAATGCAGATATACAAAAAATTCACATTGACATACTTGCATTCCAAAAGAAAAAGAAATTCAAGGAAAAGCTTACATCAACTTTCCAAATCTTGTTCTCAACCTTAACCTGCAATAAATTTCAATTTTTTAGAGAGAGAGGGAGAGAGAGAAAAAATGAATTAAAGAGTTACCTTGTCAGCACTTGGACCAAAAATCTGTCTAAGAAGTGCCATAATGAGAGTTTTTTTTCCTGAACCGGAAGGGCCGTAAAAGAGGAGATGAGGACAATCTCCCTCTGAGACCTAATAGTAATAAGGGTGATGAGTTTGAGTATGAAAGAATTGACAAAGTGTGGGAGAGATATTTTACCAGTTTACAAAGATTTTGAGCAACATCCTGGTGTACAGTAACTTTGTCTAATGTTTTAGGGCGGTACTTGTCAACCCACAACATTTCCACTATATATAGTTGAAGAGAAATGGTCCTGAAACCAGATATCAACCATGATTGTTCTTTGTTAACACAGACAACACACAAAAAAGGGAAGAAATAACTCAAACATCGCACCTTGACAAAGATGACTGATGAGAGACTGAACAGTCGAAAATTGTCGACGAGAGGCGAGCTGCAGCTCTGCAACCGTGATACTTGGTCGACGTCCACTGTGGAGTGTGGTCGTGAGACGTGAATCGTGATTTAGGGAATTTTACATTAGGGATTTTAGTTTGGGCAAACTACATAAATTCCACTAGTTTAGAACTTAATTACTAGGATTCAAGATAGTTTTGATAATTACATTCTATACCATATTTTGTCCGTCCGGATACATGTATCATTACTCGCCAGATACACGGTTTGAATTAAACAAATATATATTTTAATAATTTTGAATTATATTTGTGTAACTGATTTCCTTAAATAAAGAAGTAAATTAGGCTTAATTAATACTCTAACTGATTTGCAGATTCATTAACATATCAATTCTAACAAATCTTCCTAATATAACGAAATCCTAAAACCACAATAATTCTCTAATAGAAAATTTTATCTTCTTGACAATAGGTTTGAGAATCGTGGATTGCCATGGGAACAAGCTTGATGGCAATCCATGGAAGGTCGTTAAAGAAGAAGTTACTGATGAAAAGAAGTACTACAAGTGGACGAAGCTCATTTTCGTATAATTACTTGGCAATTCTACAGTTAGGCCACTCTCTTTTTTTAGTTTGGTGACTTCTTTTGCCTTTACTAGATGAATTGTGGTCCGCAACTAGCACTGATCAAGAGTTGTAATAATTATTCATATTGTCTTCTAATCGAATTCTTATTAGAATTTAAGTGCTGATAAATAATTCATTCATATCAAAAAAAATCTTAGCTTAATCTCAAATGCTAGAAGAAATATTCTTGAATCTCTGAGTTAGGCTCAGCGTCGTGGAATTTATTTTCGAATTTATGTGGTTGAAAGGAACCGATAAGGAGAGAAAAGTCCGGTGGGCGAATTAGATCATGTTTGTATGAGATTTTCACTTTCCTCTTTCTTTTGTTTTTGTTTTAATTAGCTTTCTTTGTTTTTGTTTCCGTTTGGTCCAGTTTGTTTTTGGATCTTTTTGTACTTATTTCGGATATATCAATAATTCGATTTTTTTTTTTTTCTCTGTAATACAAGTTTTGATTAATCTTAGATACAATTAATTTATGCATGGAACATTATTTTCACCCAATAATTTTAATAGATACATGATAGTAAGCAGCTATTTGATATTTCAGATACACTATCTATCTTGTTAGATATGTTGTTCATTATCGTTTCTAAGTTTTATTTATAATAAGATACATTTTGTTTTTGTCAGATACACATTTATTTTTGTTGTGCATATACATGGGAAGGATAGTAACTCATATAATTGATGTGAACGGTTAGATACATTGTTAATTCTCTAAACTCGTTGATATGAATTTTAAGTTAGATACATTGTAATTTATCGAATTTTTGCTAAGAAAATATAATTTATGACAATTTCAGATACACTATTTATCATATTAGATACATGTATAAAAACATCTCTAAAATACATATAACAACAATATGCTTAAATACATGAAATAATCAAATCAGATACGCGTCACTGTGATTTTAGATACATGTATATTAAACATCTCTAGAATACATATAACAACAATATGCTTAGATACATGAAATAATCAAATCAGATACACGTCACTGCCATGTACAGATACATTGACTGAAATATATTGAATATATGAAATAAAAAGTAAGATACATAAAATGAAATGTATGACCATATAGATGACATGATTATGATAACTAAAATAATACATAGGGTGGGGTGGGGGGGGTAGACGATTTATGGAGCAGGGTGGGGTGGGGGGGGGGGGTAGACGATTTATGGAGCAAGTACAGGGGAGGAGGGTTGATGAGAGACAAAGATATTTGGATCATTAATTTTGATTTTTAAATGTAAAATAATTAATCAATCCTAGCTATAAGAGATTTGTGTATCTAATTATATCTTTTAAAATATATGGTATAAAATACTAAAAGTGGTAATATATGTAATTATTTGAAAGTAGAGATAATATTAGTATATATGGTAGGAAAGTATGTCTTGTTAGGTAGTTTATCCTTTTAGTTTTACTGTGCCAATTGATTTGGGTAAATTAAATTTGGCCCATTATAAGTGATGATCGAAAACGAGTTAAATAAAAATAAATAAAATACTCAACTCGACTCATATTTTAAATGGATAAAAATTAATTATCCAATGAATAATATGGATATTCATATTTACCCATGAGTCAAATTGTTTCTCGCATGCTCAATGAGCTCCAAAATGACCAAGTCATAAAGCATTTAAAGACATTAAATGATCAATTTGGATAATGAGGATAACAAAATTCAGACAATTGTGACTGGAACACTTTTGTCAAATGACAATTAAGTCTGCCTAATCCACCAAAATTGTTATTGGAAAAAAGAGATACATTTGTGAACTTCACAGAAAGTTGTTTTGTTTCCTACTCAATTGTTTGCATCAATGTAGTCTCTTGTGTGTTACTACATGACAAGTTTCTAACAATTTTATCCATGACTAGAAGCTGTATTTAGACATGCATCAACCTTGAAAAATAGATCTAAAAGTTGAACTAAAAGAAACAGATAGAAAGTCTACCATCAAATCTATCAAACCAGCAAAGCAGAGTACCACAGCAACAACAACAACAACAAAAATAGAAAAGGAGAAAAGAGAGACGAGGACAGAAGTAAAGACGAAGGAGAGAGTCTCACCGGAGAAATCGCCGAAGCTGAGACAACTTTGGTTGATGGAAGATGATGAAAAACTGAGGCAATTTTGTTTGCGTGTGATTCAAATTTCTACCCTATTTTTTCTTTTACAGTGAATAGGCATTACCCATTTAAGTACCCATATTTTAAATGGGCAATATGAGTTGGACTCATATTTGACTCATTTTAAATGGGTAAAAATGAATGAATACACATATTTTTTATTCATTTTGTCAGCCCTATCACACAATAATCGATAATTTCCTTTAAGTCGCAAAATTTAACTATAATTTTCTTTCTTAAAACTCCAAGTCCATAAAAGTGAAATTATTTCATATACAATGAGCGGAGGGAATATTAATTTAAAATGAGACCATAAAAAGTTGAAGGTCTAGAGCCATTGCTTTCATCGGGACAATATTCACATAAAATGAAATTTTACGCTTTTACGTAACATAATATAATACAATAAAATTTAAATTCAATCCAAACAAATACAATACAATATATTACAACAGATAACAACCGTTCAAACAAAAAAAAAAACTTGCAATCAAAAGTTGACAACAACATTAATCATAGCAACCATTAACTCCCCAAGAAAAAAGAACAATTCTATTTCTTGAAGTTCAAATGGTCGATAATTAATTTTATTTATTTCATGATAATAATCCATATAACATAGCAAAACACTTATAACTAATAATAACTCCAATAAAAAAACCTAATTAATTAACACTGTTTGGTGCAGATGCAACGGTGACGGAGTCCATTGCAATGGCCGCTACTAAACCGCTCCGTACTGCAAACGAAACGACACTTCCACGTATTGAAGCATAACCCCTTGAACCGGCGGCTCTGCGACTCGCAAGTCTTCGCCTCCACTATCATCCATGTATATTATTTAACGTTACAGACAAATTTAGAATCTAGAGTCATATTAGTATTGTCTAGAGTGAAGAATATATAATTGAGTAAATATACCTATGTTTATTTTAATAATTTAAATATTTAAATGAGATGATAATTCAATTTAAAATGGTTCTATCAAAGTAGTTAGAATCGTTAGTTCAAGTCTCACTTTGAATTTATTATTAAAAAAATATTTTACATGCTTCAAAAAAGCTTGTCGAGAAAATCATTATATTAAATGAAAGTTGGATAAGCATGTACGTACATCGACTAAAGGAATATCTATCACAATCCACCAGAAATAAATATTAAATAACTCTTTCGACTAAGACTACAACATATAGAAATATCACCTAGTGTTTCTTTATCTCTACTATAATTTTGAGAAGATCATATATAATGAGTATTCAAAGTTTTAGAGGTGATACTCCGACATCAACTACTAGTTTTAAAATGTGTATGATCTTACTATATGTTTAATATTTTAACTTTTTTTTAAAAATATATATAGTTCAAAATGAAAACAATAAATTCAGTTAAACTCGTAGAATTCATCTTAAATCAGTCTCTTGAGTAAACATACTATGTAGTAGTTAATAATCGGTAAACCATATTGGTCCTTATAAGTGTAGTACTCTTAATTTTGAATCATATCAATTTTTTTAAAAAATAAAACTTTTGAAGCTTTTAATTTTATATGTATAGACTTTATACATCTATAAAACTTTTGAAACTTATCAGCGTCAAATATGAAAAATCATATAGAAATGAAAAGAAATTAATTACCGGTAGAAAAAACCAGCATCAACATAAGGAGAATAGTTGCAACTACTTTTGAAAGGCAAGCCATATTGGATCTCTTTTATTTTATTTTTCTTTCTTTGTTGGGGTGAAGGAAGAAGAGTGAAGAGGCTACTACTAAATAGGCAGAGGCGGACCCACCTTAGATGAAAGGGGTGTACGTGTTCTCGTTAATTTCGAAAAAATTATGTATATAATATACATGTATATACCCTAATACATATAATATATTTACTTGTGCATCCTTAATCACAAAAATTGATGTGGTGCACTGGTCTAATCCTTGACTTTCTGCATCTTCATTAGCAAGGTGTTTCAGGTTCGATTTCTCGAATAGTCAATCAACTACTCCCTTCGATTTCTCGCATAGTCAATCAACTACTCCCTTTGTCTCACTCTCTTTCTTCGTTTCAATTTATATGATTTATTTTGACGTGGTAAAGTGAAATTTTACTAAAACAAAAATTATTTTAAAAACTTATCATGTAAAATAAGTTATTTACGTGGTTATAATTATTTTTTATTGAAAAAAGGCTCAAATATGAATTCTCCATCTAAGTTATTTTCGATAACATGTTTAAACATTTTTAATGACGTGACTGAATCATAATGGACTATGTGTAAAAAGTGATTTTGCAAAATTGATACTATTTTTAGTTAACAAATAATGACATGGATAAGCCTTTTCTCAAACATAATTGTATAGGTAAGCCAATTTTTTAACATATGGCATAACTTTTTCTCAACGTTCAATGTCATATTTGAGTCTTTAAAATCAAATTATTACTAAATATAGAACTGTGATATTTTTTTAGAATTGGCTAAAAAACAATGTTATATAAATTGATTTGAGGTCAGTCATATAAATTGAGACATACGAATAATTATTTTATATATTTAGAAACAAAAGATGTGTTTTGATAAACATTTGGTAATAATTCGAATGCGAAATTTTTTTCAGATATAAAATTCATAAAAATATTATACTTTAAGTGTGATTTTCATCATTAATAAGATAGTTTATAATTGTACAAAAAATGATGATTTACTTTAAATCACAAATTTAACTATAATTCTCTTTCTTAAACTCCGTGAAATTATGTCATATAAGATGAACGGAGGGAATATTAATTTAAAATGAGACCATAAAAAATCAAAGGTATTGCTTTCGTTGGGACAATACTCCCATAAAATGAAATTTTAAGCTTCTACATAATAGTGATATTTTAGGACATGACACAATAAACTTTAATTTCCATTTAAATAGATACAATACAATACGATATATATTACCACACATAACATTAACCATAGCAACCATTAACTCTCCAAGAAAAAAGAACAATTCTATTTCTTGAAGTTCAAATGGTCGATAATTATTTTTTTTATTCCATTACATTAATTCATATTAGATAGAAAAACATGCATAATTAATAACAACTCCCTCCGATAGGAAAGCTTAATTAATTAATTAATTAACAGTGTCTGGTGCAGAAGCAACGGCGACGTAATCCACGGCAATGGCCGCCGCTAAACCCCTCTGTATGGCAAACGGAACCACAGTTGCTCTTACTGAAGCACAACCCCTTGAACCGACGGCTCTGCGACTCGCATGTCCTCGCCTCTGCTATCATCCCTATACATTATATAACGACGATGAATTCAGGATCTAGAGTCATATTAGTATGTCTAGAATGAAAATATATAATTGAGTAAATATACCTTCATTTTAATTATTTAAATATTTAGATGAGACGGTGATCCAATTTAAAATGGTTCTATCAAAGTAGTTATTAGAGTCGTGAGTTCAAGTCTCACTGTGAGTTTATTATTAGAAAAAATTCTACATGCTTCATGAAATGCTTGTCGAGAAGAGTGATGACCGTTATTTTAAAATCGTGAAAGCTGGATAAGCTTGTACGTACATCGACTAATTTGAAGGAATATCTATCACATTCCACCAGTAACAAATATCAAATAACTCTTTTCGACTAAGACTAAAACATATAGAAAAATCAACTAATGTTTTTTTTTGTATGTACTATAATTTTGAGAAGACCATATATAATTGAGTATTTAAACTTTTAGAGGTGATACTCCGACATCAACAACTAGTTTTAAAATGTGTATGATCTTATTATATGTTTAATATTTTATTCTTTTTAAAAAAATATATAATTCAAAATGAAAACAATAAATTCAGTTAAACTCGTAGAATTTATCCTAGATTCGTCTCTCGAGTAGACATACTACATAGTAATTAACAACGGGTAAACCATGGTCCTTATAAGCGTAGTACTCTTAATTTTGAATCATATCAAATTTATAAAAAAAAATCGTAAGATTTTCGAAACTCTTAATTTTAAATATAAACTTTATATATCTATAAAACTTTTGAAACTTATAAGCGTGTTATGAAAAAATAAATAGGAAGGAAAATAAATTAATTACCAGTAGAAAAAATCAGCGTCAACATAAGGAGAATAGTTGCAACTAATTTTGTAAAGCCAGCCATATTGGATCTCTTTTTTTTTTTTTTTTTTCTTTCTTTGTTGTGGTGAAGGGAGAAGAGTGAAGAGGCTACTACTAATATGTCTAATTTATAGTAGCATAAAGTTATATGAGTGTGAAGCAAAGTTTCAAAATAGCGGTAAATTATTTCTGAGTAATTTATAGGTTACAAATTTAAATTATAAAACATACTCATTAATGCTTGTATTAATAGAGTAAATTGTCTTATATCATGTACGGAATAGTTTGTTTACCAAACTACTCTTCTCTTTTCTTTTTTTCTTTTTAAAAAAAATATTGTGTGAATCGAATTATAGAATCAAACTTTGAAAGACAATTAATAATATTTGTATTAAAATAAATTATTTTATGTCATACTCCTCGATGGTAGCCTTCTCAAACCCTATGAAGACTAATTTGTTCAACGACCTACTCTCATTTTTTTTTTCAATTTTTTTTTTTTTTAGTTATATGAGTGTAAGAGATTGATTTTGGAACTACATATGAAGTGTGCTACTTTGAATAATCCAGAAGGGAAAAGTAGAGGATAATCTAATGTGCAAAGTATTTTGTGTTTATATAGAATTTGGAAAGGATCGTATTTTAAGGAGTAGGGGTGTGCACTATTTGGATTATATAAACCGAAAAATCAAATCAAACCGAATTCTAATTTGGATTGGTTTTCTGGATTTTTGGTTTGGTTTTGGATTTATACTTTACTTTGTTTGGTTTTTTGGTTTGGTTTCGGATTTAGAAAATGAAAACCGAAAAAACCGAATTATATATATGTTTAGAATTAAGTTGGAGTTAACCACTTTTGTCCCTTTTTAGCTATTTTCATTATGATTTAGTTTTTTTTTTTTTTTTATGTTTGGACATCTATAATTGATATACTTTTAAGTATTGTGTTTTACGTTTTACTTGTGATTTATATTAAAAAGTATATTTAAGAAATTCAATATTATATATATATATATATATATATATATATATATATATATATATATATATATATATATATAATTTTTTTTAAATTGCAAATATAACTTTGTTATGTTTCTAATTATTGACATAACCGATTAACCAAATCGAAAAAACCCAAACCAAACCAAATTTATTTTGGTTCGGATTGGGTTACACTTCTTTAAAACCAAAAACCGAAAAACCCAAACCGAATAGTATAAAACCAAACCGAATGCACACCCCTATTAAGGAGTGTTATATAGACAGTTCATCATTATATAGTATAAATATTAATGACAATTTTCATAATTTAAATTCGTTATTTAAAAATTATATAAAAATAATTTTATCGTAATTTTAAAAATTTCGGTGAAAGTAAAAGAAAAAACACACATTATCTGTACCAAATCATGACAACTCGATGTCCACTAATCTTTGCTCTCTCTTACGTCTTAGCTTTTTCACTTACTTTTTTTAAATCTAAATATATACTATATTCATAATATAATATGTAAAAAGAATAATTAAAAAAAAAAGGTATATCTTGACCTTTTATAAGAGATCTATTTATTTATTTATTTTAAATTAATCACCAACTAATATATATTCATCTTTCTTTTTATATTTATTTATTTGATCGAACAGTCTTTTGAAATAACATTTATGTGAGTATAAAAGATGGTGATAAAAGATAAAATACAAAATTACATCGTTTTTGTCTTCTTCTTTTTTAACAAAAAGAATATAATTCTAGCATATATATTCTACCTTAAACCCCAAAAAGAAAAAGAAAAAATAAAAGAAAGAAATGAACCTACTAGAAAGAAAAAAAAACATGAAGATGTGAGCATTCACTTTAGCACGTCCTTCCTCGAAACATAAAAAGAAGTAAAAGAAAAGAAGTGCTTATAAGAAATTAAAAAGGAGTGTGTACTTAAAAAGAAAAAAAAATCATGAAGGTATGAACATTCACTAAAAATTAAAATAATACGATGCACCAAACATCTTGCATTTACGCAGCGATCAACTTAGAAAGGGTTTCACATTTAGAAACGTAGCTACACATAGTTCAGGGTTGCCAGTTGGACACCTTTTATCAAAAAATTATAATATATATATAGAGAGAAATTTTTTATATAAAGTATATATATGTCAAAAATTATTTTTCATACATATATATTAAATTTCGAATATCCTTAACAAATTTTCTAATTTTGCAACTGTCTCACAACCCCAAACTAAAGAATCTGATCATTCTGATGTATAAGGTAGCTTATTGTAACGCAAACATCTGTAATTGATTCCACCGCTCAAACAATCTATATTGCACAGAAATAACTTTATCATTATTTGAAGGTCCCATCCCTTTGGAATATTAACTTTAAATACCTATGAATATAAATATGTCTAAAGATTAGTGTCTGATCTGAATCAGCATTTGAATTATAGCTGGCATTTTCTATCTTTGTAAAAGGGCCTTAATTGCGTATATGAGTTGGGAATATCTAGTTCTGGAAAGTGAGTTCATAATTAAGATTATCATTTGTTTAATTACTACTATAACCTAAATTATAAACCTTACTTTACGAAGGATAACATTTTTTTTCGAATCGATTATGTCCTAAATA